TGCATTTATAAGCGTTACATATTTATTGTTAATTTTTCAACCTTGCATTTAGTACTAGTGTTATTCAACTAGAAAAAATATTTTTCTTACACAATGGAAATTTACCCTACCTTCCCCAGATTCTTCAGACATTCTTAGAATGTTTTCATCTAAACTTCTAAATCTGTGAACATGACCTGCTGCCTGAAGTGAATACATAAAACGTATCTTATAAAACTGCCAATGGTATACAAAATATCATCATGTTTTTTTTTTAAATCTAAGAATCAAGATCGTGGGTATTTCAAAAAGAAAATTGTACTCATAATAGCACTCATATAACAACACTTGCTTATTCAGCTAAGAAGGAAGGTAACATAATATTCCAACTTTGAATTCATTCTTTTGCTAGAAAGCTAAAAAAAAAGTTACTAATTCTCATAATTTCCACATAGCAACCTACATATGTGCAAATCACTCAGAAAGAAAATGTTTTGAAAGGACAATTCTACAAAAAAAAATATTTTCTGTATCTCTTTATATACCTTTTCATAGTCCTCATTCTGAAGAGCTGTCTGTACTCCATCTGTACAAAACTTGAGATCCAGAATGTCCTCGACTCGAGTTATACAAGCTGTAACTTGGCTCTACAAGATATACAAGATTTATAATTCCTTGTTACTAAAAGTGACTCAATCCTAAGTAATTTCTTTTGTAATCATCCCCAATAAATGTTTATATTCAACTGATCTATTGATTCTGGGGCATAGCTTTGACAAAATCACAAATGCAAGTAAAAGGGTTTTTGATCCTTTTAAATAAAAGCCTCTGATTTTAAATTAATACAAGAGGCCCAAGGGCCTTGAATCGCTCTTCTGATAAATTGTACAATCTATCACTTCTATTAGAAACCTCAAACTATATTAGTATCGTAAGACCCAAAATTCATCAACTTACAAAGTTTGATAATATTTAGCCAGTTAAGACTGAAGATATTATAATATAATTATAAAATACCATAAGTAGGTCACAGTGACCTACCTTTTGATTGAAATTTTCTGAGGACTCAAGATACATTAATTGACAGACTGATGATTCTTATTAAATAAGTACCTGAGATATTCAAAAGTAGGTCACCATGACCTACTTTTGGGGTCAACATTCTCTGAAAACCCAAGATGCATCAACTGACAAAGTTTGATGATTCTATTAGCCAATTAGTACCAGAGATAATTAAATATAGCCATAAAATGTCAAAAGTAGGTCACAGTGACCTACTTTTTGGTCGACGTTCTCCGAAAAACCAAGGTGCCTAAACTGACAAAGTTTGATTATTCTAAGCAAATACATACCTGAGATATTCAAAAGTAGGTCACCGTGATCTACTTTTCGGTCGACATTCTCCGAAAACCCAAGATGCATCAACTCAAAAAGTTTGATGATTTTAGGTCAATAAGTACCAGAGATACTTAATTATAGCCACAAAATGTCAAAAGTAGGTCACCATGACCTACCTTTTGGTCGTCACTCTCCGAAAACCCAAGATGCATCAACTCACAAAGTTTGATGATTCTAAGCCAATAAGTACCGGAGATACTTAAATAAAGCCATAAAATGTCAAAAGTAGGTCACAGTGACCTACTTTTTGGTCGTCACTCTCCGAAAACCAAATATGCATCGACTCACAAAGTTTGATGATACGTACTATGCCAATAAATACCTAAGATACTTAAATATAGCCATAAAATGTCGAAAGTAGGTCATTGTGACCTACATTTTAGTCGACATTTTTCAACGATCCAAGATGCACCTACTGACCAAGTTTGATGATTGTAGGTCTGAAGGTAATCAAAATATGCGTTTTAAACAATTTGAAAACAAATGTCGACAAAATTCAAAAAAGTAGGTCACAGTGACCTACTTTTTCATAAATATGTTTTAAGGTCCCAAGATGCATCAAAGTACAAGATTTGATGATTCTAAACCTCCCAGTGTCTGAAATAATGTGATTTATTGTTTTTAAAAGGATAAGTCATAAAGTTCAAAAAGTAGGTCATGGTGACCTACTTTTAAAGTGACATTGTTTGAGGACCCAAGATGCATCAACTGACAAAGTTTGATGATCATAGGCCTTAAAGTGTCGAAAATATGCCTTCAAATCCATTTGAAAACAAATCCCCACAAAATTAAAAAAGTAGGTCACCATGACCTACTTTTGAGTTAACGATGTGAAGTCGTAAGATGCATCAACTTACAAGACTTGATGATCCTAGTCCTTATAGTAAGCAAAATCTCACACGTTTTTATTTAATTGTAAATTCAGGTAAACTTTGAAGTGACCTTGAGACCACGCCCTTTGCCCCAGGGTAATTCCCTGTGCAAATTTTAATCTTCGACATATCCTGATCCTTGTACATAAGTTTTGTGAAAATCTGCCTGGTGGTTATGGAGAAGAAGATTTCTTAGCAACCAGTACTTTTGGTTTTGTTTTCCTGATTATCTCTCCTTGTTTAAGGGTCCCAACCCTTATTTTAGTATAATGGTAGCCCTTGGGCCAACGATACCCTGTGACAAATTTGGTACTGATTGGCCAAGGGGTTCTTGAGTTATGGCCCATATTCTAAAAAGTTTACGCACACCGCACAAATGGCCATAGCATGAGCTAAAAAGTAGCAAATTCTGTTCATCATCTTTTTTAAGTAATGAAACATGATCAGTCTAAAAAGTCTAAATTAATGTAGCTGACAGATGCAAGCAGTCAGACAAAACATATATGGTCAGGCTTGGTGTGCGTGTGTGTGTGTGTGTTTTTCACTTGCTGAGAGAAATTTACTGAAATAGGAAGTTCAATGTGTACCTAGTTAATTTGACTGATATAAGAAGTTATGTACTTACTTTAGCCACATCCAGTTGTCTCACTTTGCTGCTGACATTTTCAGCTAGAGTGGACGTAAAGGAAACCATACTAGAGAGTTGTTTGGAATCTGTCTCAAGAATCTGAAGATTTGGTCTGAAAATGGAAAATGTGACAAATATCAAAACAGGAAAACTCTTCACTTTCATCACAAAAATCAAATCTCAGTTGTTTCTTTGAAAAATGGGATTTGCATTTATTTTCCCCTAAACTTTTTTAAAATTCATTAAAAAACTTATAATTAAAAATGTACTTTAAAAAGAAAAAATGCGACTGAGATGGCATTCAATAATTTTTTTGTAAACTTGAATAAATTTGTTACTTACAAGATTTTATGAAGACCACTCATCCTATTTTCAAGTGTTGATTGATGTTCTAAAAGATTGTCCAACTCCGTGTTCATTTCCTCCTGCAAAGTCAATAAATTTCAGTAAAATATTGTAGGCATATTTATATTCACAGCATTTCATAAAAGTTGTTTCATTCAAATAACAATTTATGCAAATACAATGTACTTCAATATGTGTATAAAAATCCTTAAAGATTTTAGGTAGGTGTTTGACATTGGTACCCCTATTCCTATCCCTATTCTTATCAAATACTTCAAATTGTTAAGTGTCCCAAGATAAGTATTAATTTATTAATTTTGATACATCTTTTTTTAGGCTCCCAATTTACACCAGGTCTGATGCAATCTCTTGATTTAGCTAATTAGCTGTAAAGCAATTTTTTCATACTTTTTTGTAAATGTGTAATTTCTCAAACTGTAAATAAAAGTTGCATTTACATAGAGTATCATTAATTGTTAACCTTGAGCTCTTCAGAAAATGGTGCATGAAAAAAAAAATAATCAAACTGAATCTTCCTTGAGATACTTTGTTTGAGGGTTATATTTTTAAGCAACTGAGTTGTGACCATAGTAAGTTTGTAAATGAATTTATAAAGTGTTCCATTATGGTCAGCAAGGTAATTTACGGATAATCGTAATAATTCAGCACAATGTGATGTACCAGGTAAGTATGTTTAGTCATGCCTCACTGCACACAACGTGGCAAACAGTAATACAAACAATGGAAATTTATATACCATATAAGTGGAAATTTTAGCAAAACACAAATTTAGCATTTTGTACTTAAAAATTGGTAGTTTAATTTTAGGGAGTATTTTTATGAATATAGCGATTTTAAATGCCCAGTCAAGAGTGTATGACGACAAAAACGCAATTAAAGTTAAGCAATATTTAATTTTAGCCATCTCAGCACCCTCACTAATAATGCCAAAATTAAATCCTTGCTAAAAATTCTTCTTATACAAAATCTTGCTGAAAGGTGTTCAAAACTATTAATATTTAAAGAATTTTTAATTCAGATTGCCTATTTGAATAGCGAGTGCAGCCAGCTCTTACAACAATGTCTTGGCAAAGAGAAAATTTAAACTTTACGCAATAATCAAAACTATTGTTTTCCGCAGTTACCTCTGGACTTTACAATCATAAGTTATACCCCATAACGGTATCACCTTCAGCATATATAGTCCCTGTTACATATATGAGTAGTCGTATACCTGCATCTTTTTGTCTATTTCTTATTGCAATAGTTTTATCAAGCTCAAAAACGCTATATAGCTAGCTCATGTTATGGAGCTAAATCAAGAGATTGCCATGACTGTCTTGGTCATATTCTCCTGTCCAATGCAAAAATATTGTTTTTGTTTTTTTTAAAGTGTTGGGGAAAACCATGTTGATCAATTGTAACAGGCAGAGAGAAAGACAAAAGGCAATAAAAAAAATTATCAATATGATCAAAAAACGTGTTTACAAGCATATTATGATAACCGGTAAGTGTTTGGGAAGTGTCATGTGAACTTTGCAGGGTCAGACAGAGGATAACGTTCTTGACATATGAATAAAATATCAGTTTTTCCTGTAAATTACCTCCTCTTTACATAATTCATCAAAAGCATTTTGAATATCAACCATGTTCACGAGGTTTTCGACCCCCTCAAAGGTTGGGAGGGACGTGGCATCACTCCTGGACGCCGCCATCTTTGAAAAGCCAATGCATGATGGTCTAGCTTAACTTCCGGAAAAATTGTCGTTAAACCATGGACCGCTTGTAAAACGTAATGTAAAATCAACGATCATCCTTGATATGACAGCGTAATCGTAATTAATGCAATTGGTATGTGATAGTGCATGTAGTAATGTTTAGTTTTTTAAGTTGTAGCGAGCTACAAATTTCGTTCTTACATACAAACTGATACTGTAAACAATGGCGTTAGCGGCTTACCATTCTGCACTTTCTTTTTCATTTAGATGTGTAATAATTCGCCCTTTGAAACTTTTGAATATGAAGAAATTTTTGCATCTGATATTTAATAAAATACAATATTGAGAAGGTGA